GCGTGGCATATCCTGATCCGATAAGAAACTTCAGAGTTAGAGTGAAACAGGGATATTTACTGGCAGATTACGTTATAGTGGCTATATCCTTTATGTCCTGCCATCCAAATTGATTGCAAAAGATCCTGCACATTCTCCAGAAGGCATTGACATTCAGGACGTTGTACAGATGGCTAGGAGGCGTGGCATGTCCTGATCCGATAAGAAACTGCAGAGTTAGAGTGAAGCAGGGATATTTACTGGCAGATTACGTTATAGTGGCTATATCCTTTATGTCCTGCCATCCAAATTGATTGCAAAAGATCCTGCACATTCTCCAGAAGGCATTGACACAATCAGGACGTTGTACAGATGGCTAGGAGGCGTGGCATATCCTGATCCGATAAGAAACTTCAGAGTTAGAGTGAAACAGGGATATTTACTGGCAGGATACGTTATAGTGGCCATATCCTTTAAGTCCTGCAATCCAAATTGATTTCAAAAGATCCTGCACATTCTCCAGAAGGCATTGACATTCAGGACGTTGTACAGATGGCTAGGAGGCGTGGCATGTCCTGATCCGATAAGAAACTTCAGAGTTAGAGTGAAACAGGGATATTTACTGGCAGATTACGTTATAGTGGCTATATCCTTTATGTCCTGCCATCCAAATTGATTGCAAAAGATCCTGCACATTCTCCAGAAGGCATTGACACAATCAGGACGTTGTACAGATGGCTAGGAGGCGTGGCATGTCCTGATCCGATAAGAAACTTCAGAGTTAGAGTGAAACAGGGATATGTAGAAAAAGTATTCAATAATTATAATTCTTTGGAAGAGAACATCCGTTCTCTATCGTTTTCTTTATTCGAATGTGCTTATGAAATATATCTTAGAATTTACTTGGCTAAAGCCAGCGTAGCTGCGCTGCCAGGAACGCCGGCAGCGGAGCGGCAGCATTTATGTATTTAATGTTTATATATATGTGTATATGCCCAGCGCTGCTGACAGCGAGGGCGCGAGGGAAAATGTATATGTATGTGTGTATGCCTGTGCCGTCAAGTCATGGGAATATGTTGACGCTGCACTTATGTCGCTCGAGACATTCTTGGGCGATCGTAATACGATAGCTCAAGTTATGTCTGGGACTTTTTAATTACATAAACACTGCAACAAAGTGTTACAGTGTGTTCCCCTTAAGTACACTTGGTACAGTGGGTATTGACTATGTGTGCATACTACATCTCCCTCCTTTTGAAAAATAACGTAATATATTGGAGTTATTTTATTCAAGTTATTATTTATAAAAATTATTGTCATCTAGTTGTAATAATAATATGTATTAAGTATTGGAGTTTAAAAGAAATTTTCTTTGCGCAAATACATATATATGATTAAAGATTTCCAAAATAAAGTTGTTCAATTATTTTGTATTAAAATATGTTTTATGAAAATATATATATTTTTTTTTCATTTGTTTTTGAATTGAATTATTGAATTTGAATTAATATTGCTGAGATTAAAATTTATAAGCTCGTGAATGGGTAATAAAATTTCAAATGTAAATTCCTTAATGTTTATTTTTCCTATGCATGGCCATGCTACAAATGATTGATGGTTAAAAATCTTTATCCTATCCTTATGTACTTTTTGTTTCTTTTTCCTATCATCAGAGATTATGATGTTATCTCTTTCTCCAATGTTTTCTACTGTATAGGGACCTGTATATTTGGAATCTAGCTTATGTCCTGATTCGTTTTTTAATAGAACTTTATCTCCTATTGATATAGTTATGTCCCTAGTTTTTATACCCGTACTCAAAAAGAGTTAAGGGGTATATTAGATTTGTGGTAAAAGTGGATGTGTGTAACGCAGAGAAGGAAACGTTTCCGACCCCATAAAGTATATATATTCTTGATCAGCATCAATAGCCGAGTCGATATAGCCATGTCTGTCTGTCCGTCTGTCCGTCTGTCCGTCTGTCTGTCTTGTTGAGCGCCTAGATCTCAGAGACTATAAGAGCTAGGGCAACCAAATTTGGTTTCCAGACTTATGTGATATCCCACTGCTACAAGTGTATTTCAAAATTTCGCCCCGCCCCCTTCCGCCCCCACAAAAGACGAAAATCTGTAGCAGGCACATTTTTAAAGATACGATAAAACTAAAAACGCAGTATCGTAGAGAATGACCATATCTACCAGACTGCCGAATCTGAATCAGATCGGATCATAATTATAGCCAGAATGAAGAAATTAATTTTCAGTTGCTTCACCTCCCCCTCCCGCGCACGACAACACAACTCATTTTCCTTCTCGCTCGCACACTCTGCCGCGTTCGAACGCGAGCAACCCCTAGCGGAGGAGATGTAGAATATGAATGGAACATGTACAATCTACATGTTAGATGTAGAATAGACATTATATATGTAGATGTAGATAGCAGATGTAGCAAAAAAATGTAAAATGTAAAATTTTTTTTTTTTTTTTCTAAAATTCTAAAAAATTATAAGCTCAATAATGTATATACTGACTGAGTACGGGTATAAGTAGAGTCGTGTCCCCAGAAACGACTCACACGTTCCTTCTCGTTAAATCATATATTTCCTTATTTTTCTGCTTATTTAATTCGAGCATATTTCTTGCTCTTTTGTATGCTACTTCTAATCTATACTTACTTTCTTTAGCGTAGTCATCTATGTTATATAAGGGTTCTATATTACCTATACTATTAAATTGTTTTGGTAAATTATTTGTTTTACCAAATACTAACTCATATGGACAGTAATTATGTGCCATTGAGGGGGTCGTGTTGAAACAGAAAACGAAATATTGAAGCCATACGTCCCAATCAGTCTTATCAACCGATATGTATGAACGTATGTACTCATTAAAAGTTCTATGACTTCTTTCTACTGTTCCTACTGTCTGGTGGTGGTGCCCTGTTGACGTTATGTTTTCTATTTTTAGATATTTACATAAGTCGTTAATGATTGAATTTTTATATTCTGTATCCATGTCCGTAATGAACGTCTTCATTGGACCGTACTTCAGAATAAATTTTTCAAAGATAGCTTTTGCTACCGTGTTTGCGCTTTTATTTGATATTGGGATGGCAACTAGATATTTTGTTAAGTCACAGATTAAGGTGACTGCATATTCGTTGCCATTTTCTGATCTTGGTAATGGACCTACGGTATCCACTATCACCCTGTCAAAAGCATGTACAGGTGTATCAGTTATTGTTAATGGAGTTTTAGTATGCGTAGTTATTTTCGCTTTTTGGCATTTTGGACATTTTCGTATGTACTTGGTTATATCGCGAGTTAAACCTTTCCAGAAATAATGTCTTTTGACCTTGGCCAAGGTTTTTGTTATGCCTGTATGTCCTCCTTGTATGGGATCGTCATGGTATGTAAACAGTATAGCTTCTTTTTCTTTCTCATTATTTATTTGGGTCACCGGCTTGAGTAGCGCTACTCTTAATGATTTTAGTATCTTATTGCCCATTATTTTAAAAGATTCTATTGAAATAGTTTCAAAGATCTTATCGCTCGGTGCCATCTTGAGTTGGCTAATTTTTAGTATACCGGCTTGTAATTCAAGCCTTTGGAAGAACTGACCTAAATCGAGAATTCCATTGGTGTACATATTGCCAACATCAATTCTTGCTATAACTTTTTTTCCATGTTTTAGCAAACATTTTGAATCTGTTAATCGCAAGGTCACTACCTTTCGTACTTCGTCATTTACAATGACTTCATATACGTTGGGCTGAGAAGCTTTATTTAGAGTTTGCCTAGGCAAATCTAATTTTTCTGTTCCTGCGCAGGAATTTTTCTGTTTACTTTGGTTTCTGGTAGTGACTTTTAGTATTGTTCTTGTTTGTTGTATTTTTGTTACTTTCCCCTTTTGTAAATGAACGAGATGCATAATCTATTGGGAGCTGAATTCCGTCACGGTTCTGAGTTAGAACCGCTCCGCAAGCTTGTTTACTAGCATCTGTTATAATGCAAAATTCTTTGCGAAAATCAGGATATTGTAATAATGTGGGGTGCATAAGCTTTTCTTTAAGGTATTGGAATGCGTGTTGGCATTCACTTGACCATTCAAAAGGAACATTCTTTTTACATAATCTAGAAAGATAGAAAAGATGTTATATTTCTTCAATTTTCTTCAATTTCAATTTGGTGGAAACCTGACATTAAGTCAAGGCATGAAAAGTATTTAGCTCTGCCCAGTTGGTCTAGAATATCATCATTTCTGGGGAGCGGGAATTTGTCAGAAAGTAGTTTTTTGTTGATTTGGCGATAGTCAATTACTAATCGCCATTTCTTTTCTTCCGAATTTGGTAATGTAGCAGTACTATCCCCTAATACCACTGTACATACATTTAATACTAGCCATTAAGCCCACTGTAATCGTGTTCTCAGCACCAACACATATAGAGACACTCTCAATGTAAAGAGAGCGCAAAGAATACGAAGGAGAAAAGGAGAAGAATAAAATGAGAGCGAGATCAGTTTTTGGATCGAGCAGAGACGAGAAAGCACGCGTTGTGAATTGCTGCCCAGACTACAATTTCAGAAGTGGTTCAGAAGCCCACTAAAGTTAGAACTCCCACTCAATTAAAAGCTACTGACTAAAACAATAAAAATGGATAATCTCGACATCAACAACTATACACTTATCGGATTGAAGACTTGGTGTGCTCGATTAAATCTGCCCACAGAGGGTAGTAAGGCCAGCTTGATTGCAATGCTGAATGAAATTCCTGCATTTGAGCGTGGACCTGGACCAATAATCGACAATCAAGGCGCAATTCCAAAACACAAAGAAAATAACGAAATCAACTACGCATTAAAAGGCACTGGCGAAATTTCTGGAGACTCCGACAACGGCACTGTACCCACAGCTTCAGCTAGCAGTGTATCAGACAAGGACGGATATACTGACCTGCTCGTTGAGTTCGACGCACACAACGAAACGTTGAGGAAAGAAGAAAACGCCGATTGAAGCAATAGTGCAGACCACAAAAAAGATGTCGTTGGTATTCGAAAAAGACAACAAAGAAGAAATCGGAACATTAATAGAAGTTGGCAGCTCCAGCCCCACTCCGATAAATAGTAATTTTGCAACACTAGAACAAACCATCGAAAACCTGCAACACGAAAACGAACAGCTGCGCAAAAAATCAGCTGTCCCATTTAATGTAATAAAAGAATGCGTTCCTGAGTTCAATGGCGAAGGTGATATTGATGTTTGGCTAACCTGCATAAAAAATGTTCAAGCCATTTTCAAAGTTGAAGATGACATTATGCGCTCACTCATTTGCGCACGCATTAAAGGCAAAGCCAGTGCTTGGTTCTTCGCAAACTACTCGCCTCTCTCCGCGGGCATTGATCAAATTCTACATCAACTTCGTGTCATGTTTGGAAACAAGGACAACATTCTGGAAACTCGTCGCAAGTTTGAACAACGAAAATGGATATTTGATGAAAAGTTCGTGGTGTACTATCACGAAAAGTTGCTACTTGCCAAAGATCTAAATATGAACGACGCTGAGACCATACAATACTTGATTGATGGAATCCCGGATCAACAGTTACGCAATCAAGCATTGCTTCAATGTTTTGTCTCGACAGAGGCTATGCTTATGGCTTTCCAGCACCTGAACAGACCTCGTCCACCACCCACCAAGATGCGTCCTTTCTTGGCTGACGTTAAGAACTACACAGGACCCAAGTCAGATGTAAGCCAACCAGGGACCACAACTACATCGTCACAGGCCATGAAATGTTACAATTGCCATAGCTTGGGCCATTCCGCAGCCGAATGCCGCAAGCCTGTACGCCCAGATGGAGCTTGCTATGCCTGTGGTGAATACGGGCATGTGGCCAGAGATTGCAAGCTGTATAAGAAGAACATCAAAGAAACTAAAAACGATTACGTAAGATATTATAATATAAGATTTCCTCATTTTTCTGACAAAGTATATTACATAGAGTGCCTTCTAGACTCGGGAAGTCCGATCTCATTTGTTAAACAATCAATAGTTCCTGAAGGACTTAAAATTCGTAACACTGAAGACCATGAAGATTATGTTGGAATAAATAATAGTAAATTAGTCATTTTTGGAAAAACATTTTGTAACATTATAACTTCAAATAAAACTGTTAATATTGAAACAATGGTCGTGAACAATGAGTTTACAAGGTACAATATGGTACTAGGTAGAGATTTCTTAGAGCTATGCAATTTACAATTAATTTCAGTGAACGATACTAAGACCAGATTGATCGATGTAAAATGGTATGATAACTATGAACAGCCTGTAAGGGTAGGCATCACAGAAACAACAAAGAGTATAAGACAACGTAAAGTCTCAACAGAAGAGTCAAAAGTAGAGCCAAAAGTAGAGTCAATAGTAGCGGAAGTAGTAGAGCCAAAAGTAGAGTCAATAGTAGCGGAAATAGTGGAGCCAAAAGAAAAAATCAACGTAGCGAGCTATCACAAAGTTAAGTCAAACAATAAAATTAATATTACAAATTCAAAGCCAGAAGTAGTGAAATCGAATCCTTTTAAAAACAATGTACATATACAAGGTAAAGAAAACATAGACGTCAACGTAGAAGGCGAGCCAAACGATTTTGATAAAGAAATGTTAGCCATCAATGTTGTGCAAGAAGGCAACGCTACTTTCAAGGTGGGGGAAGAAATTAATTATAAAGTAAGAGAACAATTCAAACGTATCTTCGAAGAACAATATTTGCTAGCCAATAGATCACTAGAACCCAAAGTAAAAACTGTAATGAAAATCACGGTAGAGAGTGATAAACCATTCAATTGTCCACCACGGAGATTATCATACATGGAAAAAACAGAAGTACAAAAAATTCTAGATGAAAACCTAGAATTAGGTTATATACGTCCCAGCGAATCAGAGTTCGTATCACCAATAGTTCTAATTAAAAAGAAGACTGGTGAGCTAAGATTATGTGTAGATTATCGTAGGCTGAACAAAGTAACTATAAAAGACAACTATCCAATCCCCCTGATAGATGATCTGTTAGAAAGGTTAGCGAACAAGAAGTTATTTTCCAAACTAGATCTAAAAAATGGGTTTCATCATGTATTCATGCATGAGGATTCTATCAAATACACCTCGTTTACAACGCCTTTAGGACAATTTGAATACACAAGAATGCCATTTGGGCTAAAGAATGCATCTCCTACGTTTCAAAGATACATAAATAAAATTTTTTCTGATATGGTCAAAGATGGTAGAGTAATCATTTATTTAGATGACATAATGATTGCTTCAGAAGATATCAACACCCACTTTAAGATACTTAAAGAAGTTTTTAAAAGAGTAGTAGACAACAGTTTAAATCTTCGACTTGATAAATGCGAATTTTTGCAATCGTCTGTAAACTATCTAGGGTATGCAGTAACAGGAAATGGCATATGTGCAAATGAGACGGGCATAGACGCCATAAATAGTTTCCCGGTACCCAAAAAAGTGCACGAAATTCAAAGCTTCATTGGTCTATGTTCTTACTTTAGGAGGTTCATCAAAGATTTCGCATTAATAGCAAAGCCATTATATGATGCAACAAGAAAGGATAAAAAATTTGAGTTTGGAGAAGTAGAGATAGAAGCATTTCAAGCGCTAAAAAATAAGCTGATAGAAACTCCGATTTTAGCAATTTATAATCCACACGACGAAACCGAGCTGCACTGTGATGCAAGCTCTTTAGGTTATGGAGCCATTCTTCTTCAAAGAAAGAATGATAGTAAATTCCATCCAATATTTTACTTCTCCAAGAGAACTACAGATGTCGAGTCGAGATATCATAGCTTCGAGCTAGAAACATTAGCGATCATAAACGCATTCAAAAGATTTCGTGTCTATCTACAAGGTATTAAATTCAAAATAGTGACCGACTGTAATTCATTAACATTAACGTTAAATAAAAAAGAGCTAAACCCTCGTATAGCGAGATGGGCACTCGAATTGCAAAATTATGATTTTGATCTCGAACACAGATCTGGAAAAAGGATGCAGCATGTAGATGCACTCAGTCGTAACAATAATATTTTAATATTAGAAACAAATACTTTCGAAGATAATTTAATAATATCACAAAGTAGAGATGAAAAGTTAAGAAAAGTCAAAGACATGTTATTAGAAAGGGAAAATGAATATTATGAAATGCGCAACGGTGTAATTTATAAAAAGCACAACGAAGGACTCTTATTTTGTGTACCAGAGTCAATGATCGAAAGTGTTTTATACAAGTATCACGATGAAATGGGACATGTAGGTGTTGACAAAGTAACAGATTTAATAAACAAAAGCTATTGGTTTCCGCAAATAAGAAAAAAAGTCGATGTACATATCAAGAATTGTGTGAAGTGTATAGCCTTTTCATCTAAAACCGGAAAAAAAGAAGGATATCTTCACTCAATACCCAAAGGTACAACGCCGTTCAATGTCATCCACATTGACCACTATGGTCCCATCAAGAGTAGTGAATCTAAGAAAAAGCACATACTATTGGTTATAGATGCCTGCACAAAATTCATAAGGCTTTATCCTACAAAAACAACAAGTTCAAAAGAAGCAATAGATGCTTTGCAAAATTATTTTAAAGCGTACAGTCGCCCTAAGCACCTAGTTTCCGACAGAGGCTCTTGCTTCACCTCCCACGAATTTCAATCATTCATAGAATCACAGAACATCAATCACATAAAAATAGCAACAGGGTCTCCGCAAGCTAACGGGCAAGTGGAAAGAATTAATAGAGATTTAGGACCAATGATTGCCAAGATTCGAGACGTAGAAAAAAATGAGCAATGGCATAAAGTTTTGGACAAAGTGGAGTTTGCAATGAATAACACAAAAAATAGAAGCATAGACGAATACCCGAGCGTAATGCTCTTTGGTGTATTACAAAAGGGCAATAGTATAGATAGTTTAAAAGAAAACATAGTCGAAGAAAATCAAAGTAGCGACCAAAGAGACTTAGAGTATACAAGATGCAAAGCAGCAATAGTTCAACAGAAAGTTCAAGAGTACAATAAAAGTTACGTTGATACAAAGCGACAGAGACCCAGACTATATTCTATTGATGATTATATTATGATTAGAAATTTCAACTCACAACCAGGAACGTCCAGTAAACTAGCTCCAAAGTTCAAGGGACCGTATAGAATTTCAAAAGTTTTAGATAACGATAGGTATGTTGTGCAAGATATAGAAGGATTCCAACAAACTCAAATCCCCTATTCAGGAATATGGGCTGTCCACAATATTAAACCATGGGTTTATGATCAAAATGTAAACAAAGAGTTAAATGATGAAGAAAATGTAAGCAATGAGTTAAATGATGAAGAAAATGTAAATAATGAATTAAATGATGAAGAAAATGTAAATAATGAATTAAATGATGAAGAAAATGTAAATAATGAATTAGATGATGAAGAAAATGTAAATAATGAATTAGATGATGAAGAAAATGTAAATAATGAATTAGATGATGAAGAAAATGTAAAAAATGAATTAAATGATGAAGAAATGTAAATAATGAATTAGATGATGAAGAAAATGTAAATAATGAATTAGATGATGAAGAAGATGTAAATAATGAACAAAATGTAAATACTAAATTAGAAAATGAAAATGTAAATGAACACGAAAGCAATTTAAATAAGAATGAAGAGGATGTAACTGATTCAAGGAATAAGATCATAGCAAGCGAAATGCAAAGAAAAAATGTAAAAAAAAAAAAATTTTAGAAAAATGGCTGAGAGCAGCATAATAACAAGAAACATGGCAAAGAGAATCAGGAGATCCTCACTGTCAGGATAGGCCGAATTGTAGCAGTACTATCCCCTAATACCACTGTACATACATTTAATACTAGCCATTAAGCCCACTGTAATCGTGTTCTCAGCACCAACACATATAGAGACACTCTCAATGTAAAGAGAGCGCAAAGAATACGAAGGAGAAAAGGAGAAGAATAAAATGAGAGCGAGATCAGTTTTTGGATCGAGCAGAGACGAGAAAGCACGCGTTGTGAATTGCTGCCCAGACTACAGTAATGATTTTTTTTTTTTTTTGGAACTAACAAGAGTGGGCTGTTATACCCGGATACAGACGGTTCTACGGTTTTGTTTTTATTCCCCGACTTGTTTTGAATTTCACCACGTGGCTATGCCCATGTTTTTGTTTTTTATTTTCCCCCTGGGTTTTTGGAATTCCTCCACGTGGCTATGCGGGCTTCTGTAGTTTTTAATGTAAATTGGTTCATTATCTTTAAGTCTTAGTGTTTGTTTATAAAAATTATTTGTCGCTAATGGTTCGGTTTCCAGTCCGAACACATCACTATACTTGGTGCATAATTCTGTTAGTTGACTTTTGAATTGTTCTGGAAAATTTTTCTTTAATTTTGAAAGTACTTGTTCGCTTCTATTTTTAGGATTAGTTGTATGAATGTCGTAATCTGTTAAATTTTCATATTGGAGTTTGTTTACTCGATGTATATTGTGTTTGCAACATAAATTCAATTCATTTAATGTATTAATGTCTATTTTCCGAATTACTTGGGATCTGGCTAGCAGAAGAACGGTATTGTTGCCGGCACTATATGTTATCGGAACATAAATAGGATAATTTAAATTTTTAGGTCTAATTATAAACCAGTCTTCACTTGGTTTGAAATCGAATTTTGACAATTGACAATTGAATTTTTTAATAAAATCAATGCCTATTATTCCATCACACGGTATTGAAAAATCTGAATCTACTAAATGAAATTCGTGTGGAATAATATATTTTGTTGATTGAAGTTCTATTGAAGTTGTTCCTTGAGATTTTATTACACCTTGGCCTATGCCTTGGATGTTTATAATTTTGTCTTTTTGAATTTTGAAATTATCTGAATTTGTTTTTAAAAGTGAGATATCTGCACCAGTATCTATTAGGAATGTGAGTTTATTTTCAGTTGAATGATTATAAAAAGTGACAAATATATTAAGACTGTAATTTACGGAATGAACCTTTCCTATTGGTGTTCTCCTAAAGGGTTCTGAGAGTTTTCCGGCGTATTTTGCG